TTGGTAAGGTGGAGGGTCAGAGAAAAAGAGGAAGACCCCCAACGAGATGGATTGGCCAAGTGGCAGCATCGATGGACTCTAGTGTGGCAACAGTAATGAGATTGTACCAGGATCGGGCAGTGTTTCGTTCTGCTGTGCGTAAGGTTGCTATAAGTCAGTACTGACTCGATGGCACCTAACAACAACTACCAAGAGAAAAGCAATGGTACATATTTTCATTATTTATCTGTAATACACACTCAAATGAAAATGGAGTTGCTGGTCCTGGAGAAAGCTCCCTAGCCCCACAGAATGTGTTGGCCCAAATAGCACACCATTCCCCTTCCACTCATTCAACTGTGTGCAATCCACAGGAGATCCAACCAAACATTGTTTCATTTTATTAGTTACACCACCAGGTGTGGGATTTACAAATGAGATATATACATGTGCAGGATAAAGATGGTGTACTTGTGGGTCTTTATCAGAAGTTCACTTGTGGGTCTTTATCAGAAGTTCTGAAATGCATGGACCTCACTTACTTGTGGTACAAAACAAGCCAACCAAACTACAAGGCACTTCAAAGTGGACACAGTAAACAGTTAAATTACCAAGACCATTAGTTTAAGGCCAAAATATAAAATGGTATACAAAACATAAACCAACATATAAATTACATTTAAGGTCTGTACATGAGTCTTAAAAAAAAAAAATAACAATACTGTGTTCTGTACAATATTGCTTCTTTTTAACATTCCAAATTTAAAGAAATACTTTCTGGAATTCCAGAAAAGTGGGGAAAATGCACATGCAGTACAATTAAAATCATTTCACAAAAATACAAAAATTTGTCAGTTTTTTCAAAGGCACTTCTTTTTCTTTTTTGAAACATGGGTAACTTCCATTTCAAAAGTCCCATTCACATCGAACTATGGCAGAAAGGCAGCACCCTGTTCTCACTAACCTTTGGTCGAAAAAAACACACAACATGACTGGCAATGGGGCAGCAAAGAGAAAAGGAGTTTCCTGCATCCTTACATAAACCAAAAGGCCAGAGTTGAGAATGTCACTGTCTTTTACAAGCAAGTCTGCAACTCCCACACAGAGACAACCTTATTTTCTTTCAAAGCATATCCAGTGCTCCTTGCAGAGCTATCATTAGGATGAGTGCAGATGGCCTCATGAACGCATCATGCTAGTTTAGGCACCACTGGCTAAAATATTCACCAAGTAAGCGTGTGGGAGACAGGAGCACCTTAGATATTCAAGCAGCCTCTCAGACCATCAAGTCTACAAAAAGGCCAGCTGGCACTGGGAGCTGACATGACTGCTGCATTCTGTGTCTTCTCGTTTCTGACCACGGGTCCCAGGGGCATGCCAGTCAGAAGTCCCAGGTCCCCCCTCAAACTTCCAGCTGGACCTCAACCTCCTCCATCTGCAGAGTGTCATTGTCTCCCAGAAGCTCTGTCTCTGGGACGGAGCCTTCCTCTTCCTCTTCAGCTTCTGGCACAGGATTCTGAACCACATCTTCGGGAGTGTTCTGTGCATCCTCTGTACTCTCGGAGAGCAAGGCTGCCCTGTCGGCCACTGATGTGTTGGAGGGTGCAGTGGTGACATAGCCCGTGCTGGTAGACCCACTGCCACTGTGATGGGAGCCTGGCTTGGGGACCACCTGGGGGGGCACTTGCTGAGGCGCCATTTGCATTGGTATCTGCACAGGATAGAAGTTGGGCAGATAGGCTCCATAGGCAGGCATTGGCTGATACCCATTGACAGGGATGTAGAGTTGGGGTGGGGGTACCATGGGTCTGATCTGGCCCTTCATGGGGATGAACTGGGGCTGTGGGAAGGGCTGGGCCTTCTGCTTGGGTCCTATGTAGCGGGCGTTGCTCACGTTGCTCACAGGGCTGGTGCTAAGGGAGCTTGTCTGTGTGGTGTTGCTGGTGCCTGAGGTCTGTGCCGAGCTGTTGTAGTTGGAGAGGTTCCCCCAGGTTCTGAGCCTGCTATGGATATCCTTGAACCGGGGCCGCCGGTTGGGGAACTCGTTCCAGCACTCAATCATGAGGGCGTACACCCAGGCAGGGCAGTCGTCTGGGCAGGGAAGCAACTGGCGGTTTCGGATCATCTCTACCACATCCTGGTTGGAGTAGCCGCAGTATGGCTGCAGGCCGTAGCTGAAGATCTCCCACAAGACCACACCATAGGACCAGATATCGGAGTCGATGGAAAACTTGCCATACATGATGGCCTCTGGGGACATCCAGCGGATGGGCAGGAGTGAGTTCCCCACCAGCTTGTAGTAATCAGCTGAGTACACTTCGCGGAAGAGGCCCAGGTCCGAGATCTTCACATTCAGTTTATCGAACATGAGGACATTGCGAGTGGCTAGGTCCTTGTGTACCACATGGTGGCTGGCCAGGTACTCCATACCCGCAGCGATCTGGACGACTAAGTGGATAAAGTCAGGGGGCTCCAAGGCAGACTTCATAGTCCGGTCATTGTCAGTGCTGCCCACGTCTGAGTGTGGCGAGCGCATGACCAGAAATTCATGTAGGTCACCGTGGGGACAGTAGTTGAAGACCATGCTGACAGGCTGCTCTTTGGTCACCACTCCAAGCAGGCAGACTATGTTGGGGTGCTGGAGTCTCGATCGCATCATAGCTTCATGTTTAAACTCCTCCCGGAGGGGCACTTCTGCTTTGTCCTTAAGTGTTTTGATAGCCACGGGCTGGGTCTGCTCCCCAGGTGTGGAGCCAAAGAAGTGGCCTTTATAGACTTTTCCAAATCGGTCTTCACCCAGCTCTTCCATGAACCGCACCATGGACAGGCTGATCTCTTTGAGCTTGGCCTGGCAAGAAGGAAAAATTCAATGAATCATTCCTGTCACTGCAACAACAGCTAGGAGGGACTCAGAGGGGTAAGGTTCAGGGCTGGTATAACCAGTATGGTGAGATGGTCTCCCAGCCCAGACCCCATAAAAAATCCAACTTTCTTATTTATCCCAAACTCCACATGCCCTACCAACCTTGCTCTTCAATTCATCTTAGATATGGTTTCCTCTGGTCTGACAGCTGCAATGGGTCCCCATCATGCAACAAACTGTATCAATTCAAAATATAGCTGAGATACCACTGCAGACTTCGTTCACACTAGTGTGTGTATGCAGTTGTTCATAAACATGCTCCTATGCTATAGTCATGTCTGAGTATATGCTGCCCTGTCCCAGCTCTGCTCCCTCCTCCTAGACCTTTCTTCTCGCTCCTTTTTCACCAAGATGCAGTCTTGTCATGAGCTCGGCTTCAGCCAGGATACTGTCATCTTTAGAGAGTTCCAGTCCACTATTTTACATGTCCTTCCTGCATGAATCGTCTTATGATCACTTTCCTTTTTGGAAAGTGACACTGAACACCAGAAGAACCTACAGCTCACAGCCTCTATGACATTCCTTGGTCTGTAAACAGGTCTAGAGAGTTCTGTAGTCTTCTCCATGCCCACAGCTGTCCCACCACAATAAGCACTCAATGAACTCCTGTAGAGGGACGCTGGCCAGTCACTGGAGGCCACCTTGTAATTATCATACATCTCTCTTCACTGACACTCTGTCATGACACATGCCTCATGCTACATTCCAGTGTATTTTCTCCATTCCCCAAACTTGTTTAGGTGCCGTTAAGTTGGTACCAACTCACAGCAATCTTATGCACAACAGAATGAAACATTGCCGGTCCTGTGCCAACCTCACAATTGCTGCTACACCTGAGCCCATTCCTGCTGCCACAGTACCAACCCATCTCATTGGGGGTCTCCATCTTTCTTCACTGTCCCTCCACTTTACCATGCATGATGTCCTCCAGGGACTGACTGGTCCCCTCTGATAATATGTCCAAGGTTGTTGTTGTTTAGTGCTGTTGAGTCAGTTCTGACTCATAGAAACCCTGTAGGGTTTCTGAGGAGTGGCTGGTGAGCTTGAACCGTTGACCTTGTTGTTCAAATGACTTTGCAGTCCAGTGTATTAACCTATAGTGCCGTATCATGAAGTCTGGACATCCTGGCTGCCAAGGAGCACACTGGCTGTATTCTGGTCTTCTGGCAGTCTATGTATGGTACTTTTAATATTCTTCAGCACCATAACTCAAAAACATTAATTTTTCTAAGTGAATAAGTCCTCCTTATTCACTCTCCAACTTTCACATGCATATAAGGCTATTGGAAACATCACAATTTGGGTTAGGGCACCTGAGTTCTCATGCTGACATCTTGGTTCTTCAACACTTTAAAAAGGTTTTGTGCAGCAGATCTGCCTAATGGAATATGTCGTTTGATTTCTTGACTGCTGCTTCCATGAGTGTTGATGGTTGATCAAATGAAGAAGTCTTTGACAACTTCCATCTTTTCTCCATTTATCTTGATGTTATTTAATGGTCTGGTTGCAAGGATTTTTGTTTTCTTTACATTGAGGTGCAACCCATACTGAAAGCTGTGGTCGTTGATCTTCATCAGTAAGTATTTATAGTCCCTCTCACTTACAGCAAGCAAGGGTGGATCAACTGCATATCACAGGTTGTTAAAGAGTCTTCCTTCCATCCTGTTGCCATGTATTTCTTCATACAATCCAGCTTCTTGGATTATTTGCTCAGCATACAGATTGAATAAGTATGGTGAAAGAATACAATCCTGGTGCGCTTAAACCATTCTGTGTCTCCTTGTTCTGTTCGAATGACTTCCTGTGGTCTATGAACAGGTTCCTCATGAACACAATTAAGTGTTTCAGAATACTCATTCTCAGCAATGTTGTCCATAGCTTGTCATCATCCACACATTGAAAGCCTTTGAATAGTCAATAAAGCACAGGTCTGCTTTCAGTCAAGATTCATGTGACATCAGCAATGATATCCCTCATTCCATGTCCCCATCTAAATCTAGCCTGAACCTTTGGAAGGTCCCTGTCAATGTAGTGCTGAAGATGATTTTTTAAAATTATCTTCAGCAAAATTTTACTTACATGCAATATTTATGATATTGTCTGATGATTTCTACATTCTATTGGGTCACCTCTCTTTGAATGGGCACAAATATGGATCTCTTCCAAACAGCTGGTCAGGTAGCTGTCCTCTAAATTTCTTGGCATAGATGAGTGAGTGCTTCCAGTGCTGCCTCAGTTTGTTGAAAGATTTCAATTTGTATTCCATCAATTCCTGGTGCCTTGTTCCTTGCCAATGCCTTCAGTGCACCTTGAACTTCTTCTCTCAGTATCATCGACTCCTGATCATATACTGACTCTTAAAATGGTTGATGTTAACCATTTCATTTTGGTACAATGATTCTTTATATTCCTTCTATTTTCTTCTTCTTTTCTTAAAAGCTTTTACTGTGCATTGAGTGATAATTTACATGGGAGAACATCAGTTTTGTACTCATCCTGTCGTATTTCTTACCATTGCAATGATTACAATCCCCTCCATGCATATATACATTATGTACACAAACACAAAAACACTCAGGAATATATAATCATTTAAACAACCAAAGGGCACATTTTGCAAGTCTGCCTACTGGGCGCCATCACACAGCCTTTCTCTTTCCATGAGTTTAGAGTCCTCAGCTGCTCTATCAATGTCATCATCTTTGCTTCCATCTCTGATGTTGCTGCTTCTCTGGATAGGGTCCCACATTCCGCTCATGCTCTTCTCCCTTGATGGTCCTAAGGTCCTTTGTTCCTTGAATGTAAGATTAACTACATCCCCCCACCCTTTATGTTACAAAACTTCTACCTTTACAATTGTGACAATAGCAATTAGTCATGACAATTACTCACTACTGAATCAAAAGAATCTCATCTCCAGCTCCTTTGACCAGACCCATCCAGACAAGATGAAAACTATTCAGTGAGGATTCTACCTTCTCCTGCACTCTGAAACTAAACTGCCTCTTAAAAACTTGTAAGCCAGAAACTTTGTGCCTTAGTACCCCCATTTTAGGTAGCCAATGTCTAAGTTGCTCATCTCTATCAACCCTGGGTACAGAAGGATCCTTGAACCTATGTTTTTTCTGTCTCATTCAGTTTGCCCATAGAATCTTCAGTATTGCAAATCGAAGTTTGAATTTGGTTTTTCTTAGTTCTTTCAGCTTGAGAACTACTGAGCATGTTCTTCCCTTTTGGTTTTCCAACTCCAGGTCTTTTCATATTACATTATAATAACTGACTTTGTCTTCTTGAGCTATTCTTTGAAATTTTCTATTCAGCTCTTTTATCTCATTTTTTCCATTTGCTTTAGTATCTCTAGGCTGGAGAGCAAGTTTCAGAGTCTCTTCTGACATCCATTTTGGTCTTCCCTAAAAACGCTTGTTGTTGTTGTTAAGTGCCACCGAGTTGGTTCCGACGCATAGCAACCCTGAACAGGGTTTCCGAGACTGTAAATCTTTACGGGAACGGAAAGCCTCATCTTTCTCCAAGGAGCAGCTGGTAGTTTCAAACTGCTGACCTTGCGGATCGCAGCCCGATTCGTAACCACTATGCTA